TGGTTTGCTTCTAAGCCTGTTTTCCCATTTTGTGGAACATAGGTGGTGGTGTGTCGAAAGTCCCTGTGCATCTAAACAAAACTTCATTTTCGTTTTTTTTTTGTTTTTTTTTTTGTCTTTTTTCGTGTCCGGCAACGGATCGCAACCCTCAGTGTCGCGCCCGTACCAGACCAGGACCGGCAACGGGATCGCAACCCTCAGTGTTGCTCCCGCACCTCGCTCAGCCAGTGAGCGGGAACCGGTCTGTATGTGGGATCCAAACCCTCAGCGGGAGCGCCGCCGCATTCCCAAGTGGCGTACTGTAGCAGTGCGCCACCGGGCCGCCCCCAACATTGTCGTTCTTTTTATTCTAGAGTCTAAATAGAGTAAGACTGTCAGTGGACGCCAGTATGTTGTCATCAAGCCTTGCATTCAGCTGACTCTTAACCAGGGCAACTGAGTTTGAAGGGTTTAGGGTTGGCTCCTTTTCTGGTTTTTAGCATATCTCCTTTCTGCTCACATCTAGGCCCTGTCCTGTTTCTTTTTATGCCACAGACCTTATCCTCTAATTGGACCTTATAGTTAGTAAGAAGGTTTATACTTCTAGGGGTAGAATAATTTTGTATTTGGTAATGTGATTTTAATGTAGGATACATGGGTTCTGTGGGCAGTGGAGTGAAAGAATTGATCTACTGGAATAAATATTTGTAGAATTTTATAACTTCTAAAAATTTGTAATGTTTAAAAATTTTTCTGAATTGTTTTTCAGGAGAGAGGAACATAAGGTTTCCCCTCTTGCCTTCTTTTCAAGTAAGGGCAGCCTAAGATTAAATTGCAAAAATTGATTTAATTTAATATTAATTTAATTTAACTAAGATTTAATTGTGAAAAGTTGAAAATTCGTTTATAGTTTGGGAAATACCTTACCTATTGAATATTGAGGGGTTGAAAATAAGTTGGCCTTATTGACCTCCCCCCCTTTTTAAATTTATAGCTAAAAAGCGGGACATCTATGACAAATATGGCAAAGAAGGATTAAATGGTGGAGGAGGAGGTATGTAAATGAGTTTTCTATTTGAAGACAAAAGGTCTTGACAAGACAGTTGAATTTTTTTTCTGAGTTTTAAATTACTGAGTCTCCTGGCCAGTCTATATGTGATGGTAAATATAGATGCAGCCTAGAAAGTGGGCTGAATTGGGGAGAGGAAGGAGAAATTGATAGCTTTGAAAAAAAAAATGTCTTTTGTGAGACTAGAAAGTACATGTTGATATGGTTTTTATAGATAAGAAATAATTTGTAACCTTATTATACTATGATATTTTGAGCATATACCCTTAGATCAGTACCTGGTTATTATATCAAAGTATCTTTAGAGTTTAAAGAGGAGATTCTACTGAAAAGATAAAATAACTTTTGTTATGAAAAGTTTTGTGTGGATTGGCCATCTGGCCAGCGTCATCATGGGCATTTGGAAATTACTGCTCTGAACACCCCCTCACCCTCCTGCCCCCACGTTGTAACTTCGGCTACAACAGCAGGAAAGTTGTCTAAGTGAATGTTTATACTCTTGGTTTTCATAAAACCTTCATAACAAGTAATAAAGTAGTGCATACTGTATATGCTGTTTATAGATTTAGAAATGGCACAAAGTGATAGGGGATTGCTGCTCTGACGTTCAGTGTCTTTGAAGTCTGAGCACTTGTCATCAGCTCACACACAGATAGTTTCAGTCAATACAGGACTCTTATGTTGAATTTTAGAGAACCCTAGGTTTTTTAGGTTATCATTTATAGAATGTTCTATAAACAAATAATTGTTTGCCTGCAGAACACCAGAATGCATACACTAAAAGCTGTGCTGTGTTTGTGTAGGTGGAAGTCATTTTGACAATCCTTTTGAGTTTGGCTTCACATTCCGGAACCCAGATGATATCTTCAGGGAATTTTTTGGTGGAAGAGACCCATTTGCATTCGACTTCTTTGGTAAGTTAATTGCTTGGGCCAGTATTGATGTGTATGGTGTTTCCGTGATCCAAGTGACGGCTGGTGGTTCCCTTTCTATTTATTTAATGTAGTATCTTATCATTAAACTTTGTTTAAGCAGCATAGGAGCTGTAAAACCTTTCTCCTTTTTCTTTTTGAAGATGTTTTTGAATTTACAACATGAATACTAAAATAATAAAGGTGTTAATATATTCACTGTGTATGACCCTTTTTAACTTCCTTTTGCTCTTAGATGAGACAGTGTTGAGGTGCTGGGGTCTTGGAAATGCCATTTCATGTTGAACACCAATTTCTGTACGAATGTTCCTGTTAAAATCATTAAGCATCATAGCTTTTGTTCGGAAGATATTTGATATGTAAACTTGCTTTTTCTTTTTCTAATTGTGGTGTGTTCTGACTGTTGGACTCAGAATTTGTGAGAAGGACAGACGCCTAGAGCCAGGGAGCAGTATTCTGGATGAGAGCAGTCTTGTGAAAGGAAGGATGCAGTAGGGGTCTAGCCGATGTTTGATTGTAGGGAAGATGGGTTTTCTCATCAGCTGCATCTCTTAGTTCTGACGTCTGATCCTAGGTTTTCACGTATGTCGCAGACACAGGCCGAGTGTCAGGTGCTCTTGTTAGCTGTCTGCTTCCTTTTGATTGTTTGATGCGCTGGGTGACTCAACATGTCAGGTCAGGATTCTGCCTGTGCTGCTGTGGCCATTTTTGTCTTTTGGCTCATTGAGGGGGAAACAAACACTTCTGTGTTTACCTCCTTCGTTTCCTGGAGCATAGTCGAAGAGACTCAGTGCCACCTGCAGCCCCCCAGGAGGGAAGAACGAACAACATCTGTGTCTACAAGTGATGCAGGAGAGACAAGTGGAACCTATAGACATAAAGAGGAGTAATTCGTTACCGTATCTGGTAGGTGTTGGGTCTTTTACATGATGCAGTCCTTGAGTTTATTTCACATGGGCATTCATAGGTACTTTTCTTCTTTATTGTGGCATGGCCTGACGTTGAGTATCTTCCTGAGGGAGGGAAGGATAGTTATTGCATATGAACATTTTCATGACAAATGAAGCGGGGGGGCCTGTGTGATCTTTTCATAGCCGAGGACTTGTTCGCATTAATTACTGCTGTCATAAACATAAATATATTTTGGGAAGGCTCCCTGCTACAGTATATGAACCATGTTTATATCTTTTATTATAGTCAACTCTCATATAGGCAAGAAATCTTTTTTTTTTCTTTCTTGGTGGCTAGCCAGTAAGGGGATCCGAGCCCTTAACCTTGGTGTTAATAACACCGAGCTTTAACCAACTGAGCTAACAGGCCATCCCCAAACAATCTTACTCTAAGAAAAATGAAATAATTTACTGATTGATCTTTCCTGTCTTTTAAATTGCCTTTGTATCTTATTATAGCCTTTAGCAAACTTTACACTTGTTTTGGTGGGGCAAGGCAGCATTAGGTTGAAAGTTTGAAACCTGTGTTCGGATCCTGTGAAGCTCCTGGTGACCAAGTGAGGAGGACCTGCTGTCCCCATGCCTTGCACTTCAGTTGTAGAGACACACACGAGATAAGGCAGGCAAGTCTGAGGCTAGGTGTCTTTTTTTTTTGTCTTTTTCCGTGTCCGGCAACGGATCGCAACCCTCAGTGTTGCCCCCGTACCGGACCGGGGACCGGCAACAGGATCACAACCCTCGGCGTTGTCCCCGCGCCTCGCTCAACCCGTGAGTGGGAACCGGTATGTATGTGGGATCCGAACCCTCGGGCGGGAGCGCCGCTGCGCTTCCCAAGCGGTGCACTATCCAGTGCGCCACCGGGCCGGCCCTAGGTGTCTTAAATATGCTTTATCTTACATGATTAAAAAAAAAAAAAAAAAAAAAAGAATGAATTCCTTAGTGACTGAATTATAGCCAGTGTTTGTTTTCCTTGGAGAAAAACATCTGACATGCCAAGCCTCCTCATTAAAAACGATTGTCCTTGAGCAGTTCTTTCTAGAGTATAGAAGGTATAGAGGTTATTATTAGATGTGAACAAATAGGTAAGTTTAAACTCACTAGTCTGAGGAGGTACTAGTCTTACTGAAAGTTTACACTGTTAGGTACTCCATTTTAGGGTTAGATGCTCAAATTTCAACAATAGGCATTTCCCATGATTAGTTTGGCAGTGATACTTCTTCAATCCGTTCTTGTAGGTGTTCTAGGTGACTTCCATTTTCAGGCTCTAAGGATTTACACACAGGAAAAGAAGCTGCTCCATGGCTGCTACATGTACGAAGTAACTGTGCAGGCTGCTGGCGGTATGTTTAGCGTAGACCCAAGTGAATGCAGGGCTGGGGATTTCTCCTTAATGTACTTGATGTTTATCAGCATCCAAATCATATTTACTCAACCTAGTTATAATGTCCATTTATTGTAGCAACTTATTTTTAGTCTTAATTTTTCACATGACCAACCTTTTTCCCTCTCCTGTTTTGACTTCAAGAAAAGTAGTTCAGAATTTTTGTAAGATATTTCTGAGCTGCACTTTGCATTTATCAGTTTATGGAACCCCATATTTCACATCCCCTGATGATGGGGTGGGCGGCTGCTCAGAGAAGTGGGGAAAGGATCGGGGTATCAGGGGGTGGATGAATTGTAAGCAGTTCTGTGCCTGAGCACCTGGCTGTGCATAGTGGTTACACTAGGGCCAGGGAGACTTGGGCCTGTGGTTCTGTGGATGATGAGCCCATCCTTGACCGCAGAAGACCTCCCAGGAAAAGTACTAGAAAGTAAATCTAGAGCCAGCACTGAAGGAACACTGGCTCTAAAATGTAGAGTGCAATCAAAACTTTGGAGGCTGACTTTAATTTTTTCTTTAATATGGAACACATGAAAATGAGCCTTTGTCAAAGTGCTAATCGGAAAAATTAATAAGGATTGTATTAGTTAGGATTAGGATGATCTCTTTATTTGTTTATTACAGGACACCATTACTCAGTTAGTTGATGTTCTAAGAAATGCACCTAGTGTTAGTGCCTTTTGATCCCATTAGAATCATAGCAAGAATTAACTTGGGGAGAATTGTCTGGCTATAACTTATTAACATTTTTATTTACTTGCATTCTCACTTTGGATAGCCAAAACCAAACTTTTACAACCGGTTCCAGAGAGCCTTCTCATTTTTGTACCTTAGCATATTTTTTCTTCATGAGGGCATCAGTCTTGTAAGCCTTGATGATGAATGAAACAATTAATGTAGTGATGAGGAAATCATAACAGTATGTTGAACCAAGGAAGGCAGATGCCTGGAGGGAGGTATAATTGTACTGAGGTTGAAACCCAGCCATGGTTTAAGTTCGATGTAGTGAGTTAGTCGTTTTACTCCCCAGGGCTCGAGGAGGAGGCCAGTGAGGACTTGGAGCCTAGTGAAGAGCTAGACCTGCCCAGCTTTGAGGAGACAGTGGAAGATGCCCCAAGTGAGGCAAGCAGTGAGGTTCTGGATGTGATATCCAGCGAGGAACTGGACCTCTTTAGTGAAGATGAGCCCAGTGAAGGCTGTAGCTGGGGTCAGGGCGAGCTTCTCAGTGAGGAGCTGGAGCTCGTGTCCAGTGAGGACGAAGCCAGCCATGGGGCAGCAGAGGAGCTCAGCGAAGAGTGCGAGGAGCTGCCGAGTGAGGACGAGCACAGCGGGCCTGAGCTGGAGGCTCTGCTTGTTCAGCAGTGAACTGTCACGAGGACCGCTGCCCGATGCTTCATAAGAAGGCTTGATGGACTTAGTGTATCTAGAATAAAAGAACTTTCTTCTTCTAGTGCTGTGATAGTGTACTTAGATAACCAGATAACCATCCCTGCCTTGGTGATAGAATTGAAGAAAAACTGGGGATGGGTGGGCAAGCCCTGAGGCCCCAGGACAACTATCTAGGGGGCTGCTTTGCCCTGGGTGACCTAAGCAACAGAAAACGATCACCTCCGAGTTTTGGAGGCCAGTGTCAGCCAGGCTGCTTCCTTCTGAGGCTGTGAGGGGCCAGCCCAGCCACCCTCTCCCTGGGCTTGTAGGTGGTTTTCTTCCTGTGTCTTCACATCTTCTCCCCTCTACCTATCTGTCTTTGTGTGCAAATTTCCCCTTTTTATCAGGACACAGTGATTACTGGGTTAGGGCCCACTCTAACTTAACGTGATCTTCTGCAGAGAACCTGTTTCCAAATAAGGTGACATTTACAGGCCCTAGGGATTAGGACTCCAACATCTTTTGAGGGGATGCAATTTAGCACATGACACCCATGGAGACTGGCTGTTCTGCCTTGGTGGCATTTTTTCTCTACGTTGCTCCACAAATACTAAAATGTCAGCAAAACCCTCCTGCTCTAGCCTTTGATTTGCCCTGACCGTGTTCAAATCTAGGCCTACCCAGCTCCCCAGAGTGGCATGGGACAGAAGAAAGAGGGTGTCAGGCCATGTAAGGGCCCGAGTCCCAAACACACTGTGCTCCCCAACCCTCTTCAGGGACACGCGCCAGCCCCAGCTCCCACCACCTCTTCCCAGGGAGAGGATCTTTGCAGCCATAGACAGCTGGCCTCGATGCCTGCTTTCTGACAGAGTTGGTTAGGTTTTTGTCCTGGTCTGCACAGTATAGAAGCAAGCAGCAAATTTTGGAAGGGAAAGGAAGGAAGACCTTTAGAGTTAGACCTGTTAAGAGGAGTTAGAAGTTGGAAAAGTGTAAAATGCAGACACGGGAGAGTCATAACAGCTAGACTCATCCCCCTTGTGGATGTGTGACCTGCACCCCACACTGTCAGGACATGGTGCTATAGCGATTGATATTCATGACAGATGTTCCTTGTTTACTTAAGGGCAGAGTTTCGTACGCACGCATACCTACACGTAATTTGAAAAAAGGCAAGGAATAAGTGTTTTAAAGTACACATAGAAACATAATGTGTTAGACTGGATTCCTAGCTGAGTTATTAAAAGCGTTTTTGCATTTGCCTTTTTCAGCTGAAGCCTGTGGTA